CAGAGAAACGTGTAATGCAGATGAGCTATAGCAGATTACTTTAAGGGAAGAAGATTAGAGAGGGGGAAAGAGCTGCTTTTGCTCTTTGGTTTGTTCTTTTTCTGTGTGTGTCAGCATTCTGTGAATACAAACCTTTATATTCAGTTAATTCCTTCCTTCATGTTTGTTTGAATCTTTTGCAAAGCAGCACGGAAGAAAAAGGCAGTAAAAAACAGCAATATGGTTGCAAAGTCACAAGAATAGTCAGAGATAACCCAGCATGTTTGGGAATTTTTTTTTTTTTTTTTTTTTTTGAGGGTTGTTGTTGCTTTTTAGTCTTATCTTATGAAGTGGATTAGTTGAGAATATTCTAAATAACTTCTGCCTGGCCTACTTAGTTCCATTAATTGATTATTAAAAGGGAAAACAAAAAAGAAAAAAGATAGCTGCATGGGTAGCAGAAGATACAAAGCCCAGCCTTCTGTGGAGCTCACTTATTCTAGCAGTCTCCAGTGGAGGTTTTCTGGTGCCTGCTGGGGCAGGTGAGCCTACACTGCTGTTTCTCAGTGCAGGCACTAACAAGTCTCTTCTCTGTCCAGTCCAGTTCTGTGAAACGTGGGAACTTATCACTTCGGGGACTGCACGCTATGTCAAACTTGACTGAAAGTGACTGGCACATGTAGTAGTTGGTAGGGGACTCATCAGCAGAGTTATGTACAGAAAGATGATATTTACCTTGTTTGTTGACAAAATCAAGCAAAATGATCTCTCCATCTTTTCGTCTCCTTATAATGACAGTAAATATAATTAACAGCTTAACTTGACATTTTACTTGAGAATCAGTCTCACAGGAAGAAAAGATGCATATTAATCTTTGCAGTTTGGTATTTTGAAAAACTTCAAGAGCTGTTGACTACTGCTGAGGTGGTTAAAATCTGACTAGGGCCAGCAGACTGTCAGCAGTGACCTCTTTTCATGGCCAAGTCAGCAGGAGACACACCTCTGTGTCTTTAGCCTTGTCTTCTAAGGGCACAGCTTTGTGCTCTCTAGATGCATTTGTTTACCTTTTCCTGCGTCTCCCCCTAACTTTGATCTGTTGGTAGTTCTCAGTCAAGCTTGGCAGACAGGTGTAGGTCCCAAAGACCAGCGTTTTCAGCAGGTTTCATGAAAATTAGTGAATGTGAATCCCGTGAAAGTTACTGCAGCTCATACTGAGGTGAAGAACTGTACTAATAGAAATACATGTATGGTCAGACATCAGAGAATTATGTGGGAGCCTGTCCTTACAAACATCACAGCCCAAGAAAGCGTCAGTAGGAGCTTGTTTTTAGCCATGTGACACAAGACTCTGACAGACTGGACTTCGGTAGTCCTGGAGCTCACAGAAGTACTCCTTACAGGAGCTGTACAGAATTAAGTGGATCTCAGCAGCTGAGAGAGGACTGAATCCTTTCATGTTTTTAAAGCTTTTGTTGTGGGTTAACAGCCTCAAGCAAGACAGCAGAGTGAAAGTGATTTTTTTCTTGATGCTAAAAGAGTGTAGGTTAGGCATTGCGTATTTGGCTACTTAGATTCCACTGAGAAGTCTTGGTTTGGGTGATGCAACTGAGATACAGCTTTATGACAGTGAGAATTCAAAAGCAAAGCAACTAGTGATAGCGTGACCCTAGAAGTAAAAGCTTCCTCTCCTTCTACATCCCTTCAGTTAGTAACAGTTTTAGGGTTTATTGTGGAATGTGACACGTAAGATCCCCCCACCCCCCCCACCCCGCAGTGTACAGGGGTTTCAGGCTTTTTTTCTGTCTTGGAAAATTTACAGGCTTAATTATCTTGCACAACCAGTTCAAGGTAAGAGCAATATAGTATGTATTTTTTAAGCCTATTATAAACTCTTAAAATTTTGACCTAAGAATGCACAAAAACAGAACATAAGATAAGTAAGTTTGGTCTCCAGTGGCAAGTATTGATTGCTTGTATAAATTGTTATTATTGACTTGGAGGTCAGCAGTGTTTTATCTTAAATTGTGCTGCATCAGAGCATGTATATGCACATATCTGAGTTATCCTTATAAATGAATAATAGCCATAGTGTTTTATTTTTCCCTGTGCCTCTCACTTTGTCTTCCATTTTTTAAAACAGTGCTAGTTCAGAGAGAGAAACATATGAATCTCTTTTGCTGAAAGTTTAGCAAGTGTTATTCCTGCTTTTCCGTGGTTAGCAAAGTTTTCTACTTCCTAGCAGAGAGCTTATTCATTAGCTTTTTGTGAAAGTAAGCTTTCTTTTTTTTTTCTATTTTCAGTGGCTTTAAAAGTAAAATGGCATAACCCTTGGGACAGAGAAGACAGTCTTCTGAATATAGAGCGCTGCAATGCTGCCTTACTAAGCCTGAAGATGGCCTAAAACAAGGAAGAGCTGTCTGTTCTAAAAGTAGTAGGATACTAATTCTGAAGCACCTTGTTACATTAATGTTGTTCCCATGTGAATGGTTCATAAGGAAAAACTTCACTCATTTTAAAACATAAACTAATTAAAAGTATGTATATTTGAGTGGCTTATTTTTATTTTTTTTTAATTGATTTAAGCCAGCTTACACTATTCTGAGTTGTCACCCCATAGACTCCTGCTTTTAGTTTTATTTTTCTTTAATTTTGATTTAATGAAGTGGTTCTGCTTCTAATTAGAAGTGATATCTTAAAAAAATGAATCTGTGTAAACAATACCTCATGTGCAGTCTACAAACGTGTTAGCCCTCCTATGAGATTTATACTGGAAGGCTTGCAGTTAAGGCTGCAGGGAAGTTTAAACAATAATCAAACAATGAAAGAAGAACAAGGAAGGAAAAGGGATGTGTGAGAAGGAATTATGAGACTACAGTGGAATTTGCTAGAAGTTGTATTCTTATAAACATGTGGCTGTTTCATGTACCTCTGCTGTTGTGGAGACCTGGCGGATCTTGGCTATGTAATGACCTCTGAAGACATGCTGTCTCCAGACAATTGATACTTACCAGCATAAAGGAAAAATAAAATTGTGTTTGTATTGAGCAATGCGTTTGGTTTACAAGTTTCCTCAGATATTGTACAGGGCAGTAGGTTTGTTGCTCTGTCAGCAAACAAATCATATTCCTGAACCTTGCCAGCAGTGCAATGCATGGTTGTTACAAGAGATGTAAAAGTTAACTTCAGTGAAAAACTGAGGAATAGAACTAGAGGCTTGCTGCTTGGGTTTTTAAGTCGGTCTGAGCATAAGCTGATGTAAACTTCTGTTAACATGTTAATATTCAGTTTAAGTTATTGATAAGCTTGTAGCTGTTATCAGTACAGATTCATTTAAATAACTTGGAACTTAACCTTTTTCTAGAAAATCAGAGTTTGCATGCTTAGAACTAAAATACTTAGTGGAAAATTGACTGGGAAAGGCTTGCGTGTGGAAACATCCCTTGCCCTGCTCTTGTGCTGTTCTGAGAATCAGTTGCAGAGCACTGTTTTGTTTGGCTTTGGGACTAGGGAGTCAGGTGCAAGCCATGATCAGTAGCCCCTAAAGCAAAAAAAAAAAAAATATCCTGAAATCTCTTGATGTTGATGTTGCGCGAGGCCTCTCCACTGCATGCTGCACAGTGAGGGTGGAATATAGGGCTAGATGGATGTCTGGTGTGCTCTGGCACGGCAGTTCTTGTGGCAGGTGCTGTGAGGTCCCAGGTTAGTGGGCAGATGTAACAAGACCTATCTGTCTTCTCAGTCTCAAAGTGGAGAAAGGAGATGCTGGTACTGAAGGTAGAATCTGGATTATAATTCAACTCTTTCTGGTGGGAGTACACAATTTAGACTTGGTGATATTTCTGATTTCTTTAAAATTAGTTTTTAAAAAATCTTGTATATGCTGTACGCAGTAGTTTAGAGAGCCCTCATCTTTACATTTGTTTTCTTTATCTGCAGCCTAATGAAAAAAAAAATAGTGAAAAGAGAGGAAAGCAATCCTTTGCTAAATCTAAATACAAATCTCTCTTAACTCTACAATGTCTGATAAATGAAACTAAGCAAATTAACTTCAGCTACTTGCCTGACTGCAGGCCCTAAGTCAGAGCTTCTCAGGTCTTTATCTTGTCATAATCTTGCTTGAGATCAAGTCCAGCTTTCATGATCTCCAAATTAAAACAGCACAAGCTAAATCATGGATTACAAGTGTCGGTGGTGACATCCAGCAACAAATAAAGCCAGAGCATTCCTCTGTGTAAGGATGCGATACCCTGTGTGAAGGCAGAGTGATGTTCAACTTCAAAAGGTTAGAAATGATAGGCCTTGACATCCTAGACTGAAATGGTGAGGCGGAAAGGTGGTGCAGTAGTTTTAAAAAGAAGGGGGGAAATGGGCATATTTCTGAATCTGACAGGCCTTGTTTAAATGTGGTTGGTTTTTTTGGGTTTTTTTGTTTTTTTTTTTTCCTAGGTAGAATAATGGTGAATTCTAATAGTGAAGGCCTGGTACCAGTGATGACAAGCCTCTAGGCTTGAGGATACATCATGCTGGAGGAGACATCAGTGAGCAAGCAGAAGGCCCAGACTGTCTAGGGAGTTTTGCAGAGGGAACAGTAGGACCTTGTGTCTTGCCCACAAGGTTTCTGGTGGCTGATAGGAAAGAGAAGCCCAGCAAGAGCATGTTCTTGGGGGCAGTTTGCTCCTAAGACAGGCAGGCAAATATTTAAAGAATGCAAGATGCTGTCAGTCAAAACCAAGGTTTATGTTCTTGCCTGCTTTGTGAGTCACAGTTTTATTAGTTTTGTTTGCCTGCAGTGACTTGCTTAGTTCATTGCAGTAAAGTTTTCCTAGATTGCTAGTAAAGGTTTTGGCATGTTGAAAATGTTTCCCTGATTCTGAACCGTGAATGCAATAGTAATTCTGCTTGGTTTTAGTGTTTCAGGTTCATAGTACTCTTGCTTTTGAGATGCATTTTAATTACTGCTTGCAACTCAGGCTTGTGGTAATATGTGTATAAACTGAATCTTTGTCACTTCATATTTCTAGGTCCACTGGCCCCCTTCTTTCCTCAGTGGAAGCTGAAACATTATGATGTTGTTGTAGGTGTTTTGTCAGCTCGACATAATCATGAACTGCGCAGCATTATAAGGAACACTTGGTTCAAGCACCTGAAACAACATCCGGCACTGAGCCAACGGTAATCTCTAGTGTTTTGTAATTTGGAGCTTTGTGGTGGGGGGGAAGACTATAATAGTTAAATGTCTTGATTTAAGCCTTTCTTTTTGAATGTAATTACTTTTTTTTTGTTTATTTGTGAGCATCTTGTACTCTTTTTTTTTTTTTTTAATCTGCTTAGTAATGTGTAAGAATTCTTCTTGTTCTGAGCTGTAACTATTTTTTATACAAAGAATAAAATGTAATTGATTGTACACTGCTGTTTGTTTTTGCAATTAGTTGCCACTGTTCATTAGTGATGCATAAGACTTTTCCTTTTTTGTGTTGCAACATATGCTTTGTAGGGTATGCAACTTGAAATGCTTAGTAATTGAGGATACTTGAAAGCAGGCAGGATCGCATTTGGTGAGAGAGCCACTAAAAACTCTTACAACAGCTTCAGCTGTAAAGTTCAGGTTTATTTCCCACTGAACTAGGTGCACCAGACTGCTACAGAATGAGTGACCAGCAGAACCCTTCCTGTTTACTTTCATAGACCTGACAATCTACAGCCAGCCCTGTTCTTGCTGAGAAAGTTCTGCTGCAGTTCATTCCTGGAAACATTCTCCTCTTGATAGGCCTCATCTTGGTACCTGCCTTGCACTGAAAGGCATTCACCATTCACAAATTTGGTGCCAGCATGCAGTTTGGAGTGAAGCATAGCTACTTCAGTGATCTAAAAATGTGACCTTTCGTAGCTTACATGGAGTCCCAGGAGGGTATTTAGCTGCTGGGTAAAAGACTAGGCTAAGGTGGATCCTCTTGCTCTCCATACTGCTTGTTGTCTCCTGACTGTGGCACTACCATTACTGGGGCTGGAAAGAGCAACCTGTTGCTTTGCTACAACCCAAAATGGAGACATTTTGTTGTAAGGGATAGTCTGGAGTACTTGTTCCTCCTTTGATGCTATATGTGTTTTTTCTTCTTATTTTTTTTCATTGCCTTTTGAGTGCGGAATATTTAAACAATCTTGAATTAAGTAACAAAGCCAGGCAGGGAAAGGCAGGTCTTCAGGATCCTTCAGTGTTGCCTTAGGTCTGTTTCTGTTTGGCATGCTGGCTGTCTTGAGTCCCATTCCTAGTTGCCAATCTTCCTGCGTCCTCATTATGAAATGGAAAATGCTCATGTGGGTTTGGAATTGAGCCCCTATGAGGGGATTCACATGGTTGCTCTACATATGGCCTCTCATTGCCCATTTTTAAGGGGTTCAAAATCTTAATCCTGTGAAAGACAGGCTGTTGTGATGAAGTAAGTTTATTGAAGATGGAGGGAGGAGGGAAGAGAACTGGTGTTAATAAAATCAAATTATTTTAGTGTCCTTGTGAAGTTTATAATAGGTGCGCAAGGTTGTGCTGTGCCAGTGGAGGACAGAGAAGACCCCTACTCCTGCAAACTTCTGAACATCAGTAACCCAGGTATAGAAGTTAACTTTTAAAAACTCTGTGGTCTGAACTAGAACTAGTCATCTTTTCTGAGTCATTTTGTGCTTGACTGAGACAGCCAGTCTTAAACATAAATGCCACCTAGAACTTGCTGTCTTAACAGTTGCATAATCTTCCTGTAAATACCATGTGCAGGTGTGAAAGGGAGAGATCTTTGGGGGTGTGGAGGGGAGGTCATTGACTTCTAATGGATTTGCATTTTCCTCGTGTTGGGCGACAGTCTCTTCCATATAACATACGTTTTTACTTCATCTCTGTGTTAAAATGAAGTTGGATAGAGCCAGAATGACCCAGTCTAGTGTCATATGTGAAGAAAATAGCAAGGTGCCAGAATCTGGAGTGTCAGATGGACTTCTCTGGTGACAAAGTGAATTCTAAGCAAGTCTGGCTGATAGGTTTTTCAGATTCTGTTCTAGAGAGACAACAATTAAGAAATGTACCACGGGGAAAAATGAAATGCTGTCATGCAAAAATTCCTAACTAAAATTGTAAATTCTTCCTGTCACCTTTTTCTTCTATTTAATTTTTGCTCTTTAATTGCAAGTTAACTAAGGACTGCTTGGCACTTAAGCCAATGATTCACCATAAAATGAAACTTCTGTTACTTTCTCTTTGAATGGCAACATCCACTGCTTAACGAGTCTCCCAAGAATAAATAGTACCTCAAGGCTTAGGGAGGCGATAATGCCAAAAAGCAGGCAGCCGAGTTAAGTGGAGGTGTATGCCGTTTTCATACATGAGTAATTATTTTAGTATGCTAATATACAGATACTCATGCAGTCAAATGGCATTTTTATCTTCACTCGGTGGATTTATTGTGTTTCTAGTCCTTTCCCTGTGGATATGTAGCATTGACTTGCAATTGCTGGTAGCCTGCAGATTGTTGCATCACTGAGTTTCTCGTGCTTTCTTCTTCTCCAGCGTTTGATAATCCTTGTGCCCTTGTGAGCCCTGCTAATTAATCAGAATGCTTTGCATGTATCCATTGTGGTTTGTCTGTATCCAGTTCAAGAACTATGAACTACGAAGTCTTCTCACATTACCTCTGTCCTTTCTTTTTCATACAGTTTTGAATCAGGAAATTGAAGCATTCGTCCTCCCTGAAGACGTACCTTCTGTGCTATCTGAGGACAGAATTGTCAGTGTGAACTTTCGTGTACTTTACCCCATTGTCATTACCAGTCTTGGGGTATTTTATGAGGCTGATGGTGTGGGATTCCAGAGGAACATCACTGTAAAACTGTACCAGGCAGAACATGAGGTAGAGTATTGTACATACCTTTTGAAAGTGGACTAAAGCATGTTGTCTCTTTATTGTGGATTAAGTTCTTACAGAAAGCGACATGCTGTGTTGATGATTTAGAAAAAAGTATTTAACTGACAAGCCTATGAATTATGCTTTTCTGCTGTTGCTTTGTAAATTCTTATTT